TGTAATTTAGAAACATAGTGTCAATAAGCATATATTAAGCTCCTCCTATGTGCCAGGCACTATGCTAAGCTAAGCACTGGGGATACAAGGAAAGACAAGAGACAGTCCCTGACCTCTCACAATCTAATGGGAGAGACAAGAAACAAAAAGCTACATAAAACAAGATATATACAGGATAATTTGGAGATAATCAGCACAAGCAAGCCACTAGTATTAAGAAAGATCAGGAATGGCTTCTTGCCAAAGGAGAAAGTGGCCGTTTAGCTCAGACTTGAAGGAAGCCAGGGAAGCCACAGAGCCAAGAAGATATGGAGAGAATTCCCTCTCCCTCAGGGCTGGGGGGGGGGGGGACAGTCAGTGAAAATGCAGTGTCTTTAATAGTGGTTTGTACAAGCAACAAAGAGGCCAGTGCCACTGGACTACAGAGCATACGAAAGGAATAAAGGGTAAGAAGACTGGAAAGGTAAGAGGAGTCCAGGTTATGAAGGCCTTTAAATGTCAAACAGAATGTTACATTTGTTCATGAGGGTGATAGGAAGCCACTGGAGTTCATTAAATAGAGAAAATACAGGGTCAGGGATACAGCTTAGGAAAATCACTTTTATATCTGAGTGGAGGATGGATTGTAGTGGGGAGATACTTAAGGCAAGGAGACCAAGCAGGAGGCTTTTGCCGTAGTCCAAGCATCATGATGTACCATGACGGTGGCATGTTAAAGAGAAAAGGAAGAACATACAACAGACGTTACAGAGGTAAAATTGACATGATGTGACATCAGAGTGTATGGAAGAAGGGTGAGAGAGAATAAGAAGTCAAGGACAATATCTAGCTTGTGAGTTCAGTGACCGGGAGGATGGCTGTGCTCTCAATAGTAACAAGAAAGTTAGGAAGAGGCAAGGGCTCGGGCAGAAAGAGAGTAAGTTTAGTTTTGGACATATTGAGTTTAAGATGTCTACAGGACCTCAATTTAAAATGTCTAGTAGGTAGTTGGAGATATGAGACTGGAGGTTAGGAAAAAAGGTCAGTGTAGGCAGAGCAGCCAGCCTGCCTGGAGCTCAACCCTACCCTTCCCCAGCCCCTGCCAAGTCTTGTTTCTAGGGAGCAGAGCATAAATTTTGGGACTTGAAGGGACTGTATTCTCCTCAAGTTGGCTTTACTGGAAGCTACACTTCAAACCCAACTTATAAAGAGGTCCACTCAGAGAAAACTGGCCATGTAGAAACTGTCTAAGTCACATCATAGCCAAAACACGTCCGTTTTGAGAATCTGCTCAAGGTCTTCTGTGAGAAATTCAACACAAGAAGTGCATCAAGGTAATGACTTTGGCACCCAGTACCATTCTGCTATCTTCCCAAACACTCCAGAACAGGCAGATGCAGCTCTTAAATCGAAAGACGCTTACCAGAAAGTTATTACAGAAAGCGTACAATTACAACTGATATCCAGGAAGGTCAAGAATTCTATTACACTGAAGATTACCATCAACAATACCTAAGCAAGAATCCCAATGGATACTGTGGGCTGGGGGACAGGAGTTTCCTGTCCCATTGGAATTAAAAAATAATCAATACCCATATGATGGCACTGAGTTTGCATTTGCTTATGGCATTGCTATAAGGTAATCGACCAGAGGTACAGCTTTCAAGTTCTGACTCTCTAAGGGGTTTCCAAACAAATGAAATATAATGACACCTTGTTATGACGTGAATCTCTCATACAGAATTCTAATGGTAGCTGACTTTATATGATTATTAGAACTATACCTTCTGTATGGGATACTAATTAAAGTGAGTAAGCCTAAAATGTAAACAGTTTCTAGCTTCTGAGACAAGTAGGGGGTGACAGGAAATTGTTTCTGATGGGAAAATCTTTACTATTGCCCTGGCCCAGGCAACATGCAATCTTCATTTCCTATGCCATCAGATTTGTAATAATTTGTGGCCATGATCACATGTTTACAAAAATATTTCTCTGCTGAATACAAATGGGTAATTCCACAAGAATAAAGCCAATGGAGCTTTTAGTGCCTATTAAAGGCTTCCTCATGGCAATAGAGAGATCCAGGTTTGCTTTATGGATTATGATGCTTTGCTTATAGCAATGAGAAGGGTAGCAAATGGATAATCTAATAAAGGTTTATAGTCTGAATGAAACAAAAAAAAGAAAGAAAGAAAAAAGAAAGAAAGAAAAAAGAAAGGTTAGTGTAACAACCTCTCAGTAATCCCAGCTACCTAACTCAGCCAGCATCAAAGCACACCTGCAGTCTCAGGTTTCTAACTCTCTCAGCAGCTGCAGTCATTCCCTGAGCACAGCTGCAGGTTGTCCATGCCTAGTACTACTTTCTGTTCCTTATTGGAAATAGAAAAAAGTCTCTAGGGCAATCACTGTGACCTCAGGATCACACTGCGGATGCTCTTCTTCTGACCTGATTTCCTGGATCTCCAGATTGCTACCCATATTCACCTTCTCCACCTTTTTGTTTCTGTTCACCTTGTAGGACAGCTTCATTTCCAGACCTCTGACTTACCTCTGATCACAGAAAGCAACAGACTCCCTGCTTGCTCTCTTTAACTTCCTGGTTTCCAGACCTTGGTCCATTTCAACTATTCAACAACTCCTAGAATTTTCATCCCCATGATGCTCATCCTAGCCCTGGGCTCCTTGCCCAACTCTACCCCGACTCCTGGACTTCAGCCTCACTAACTCTACAGGACTGTTGCATATGATTCCAGCCAACATAAACAGTTTTTAAAATTTGGCAGGCTGGATAAGAAAGAACTCAGTATTTGATAAAAAAAAAAACTACTGAGGAAACTGGAAAACAGTATGGCAGAAACTAGGCATAGACCAACATCTTACACCGTATACCAAAATAAAATCAAAATGGGTACATGATTTAGATATAAAGGCTGATATTATAAGCAAACTGAGAGAGCAAGGAATAGTTTACCTCTCAGATTTATGAAGAACGGAAAAAATTATGATCAAACAAGAGAGAGATTATGAAATGCAAAATGGATAATTTTGATTACATTAAATTGAAAAGTTTTTACACAAAGCCAATGCAACCAAGATTAGGAAGAAAGCAGAAAACTGGCAAAGAATTTTTACAACCAGTGTCTCTGATAAGGGCCTCATTTCTAAAATATATAAGAACTCAGTCAAATTTATAACAATACAAGTCATTCCCCAATTGATAAATGGTCAAAGGATATGAACGAGCAGCTTTCAGGTGAAGAAATTAAAGCTATCTGTAGTCATATGACAAAACTCTCTCTCTACTGATTAGAAAAATGTGAATTAAAATGACTCTGAGGTATCACATCACACCTATCAGATTGGCTAACATGACAAAAAGGGAAAATAATGAATGTGAAGAAGAGGTGTGAAAACTGGAACACTAATGCATTGTTAGTGGAATTGTGAACTGATCCAACCATTCTATAGATCAATTTGGAACTACTCCCAAAGGGCTACAAAAATGTGCATACTTGAGCAGCTAGGTGGCACAGTGGATAGAGCACCAGCCCTGGATTCAGGAGGACCCGAGTTCAAATCTGGCCTCAGACACATAACACTTACTAGTGGTGTGACCCTGGGCAAGTCACTTAACCCCACTGCCTAGCCAAAAAACAAAAACAAAAATGTGCACACCCTTTGACCTAGCAACACCGCTTCCAGGTCCAGGAAAAGGACCCATATGTACAAAAATATTTACAGCAGCTCTTTTTGTGGTGGCACAGAACTGGAAATTGAGGGGATGCCCATCAGTTGGGGAATGACTGAATAAGTTATGGTATATGAATGTAATGGAATACTATTGTGCTACAAGAAATGATAAGCAAGCAGACTTCAGAAAAACCTGGAAAGACTTGTATGAACTGATGCTGAGTGAAGTGAGCAGAATCAGATGAACGATGTATCCGGTAACAGCCACAATGTGTGATGACTAACTTTAACAGACTCATCTCCTCTCAGCAATGCAAGCATCCAAGACAATTCCAAAAAACTCATGATGGAAAATGCTATCCACATCCAGAAAAAGCACTATGGAGTCTGAATACAGAACAAAGCACTCTCTTTTTTTTGGTTGTTCCTTCTTTCTCACGATTTCTCCCACTGGTTTTAATTCTTCTTTACAATATGACTAATGTGAAAATAGTTTTGACATGAATGTATCTGTAGAGCCTATATCAGATTGCACACTTTCTTGGAGTGGAGGGAGGGGAAAGATGGGGAGAAAACCTGGAACTCAAAAGCTTATGGAAATGAATGTTGAAAACTAAAAATAAATAAATTTTTAAAAATTTTGTTGAAAATTTAGTTTGTCAATGGAGGAGGGGGGAAGGGGAGAGAAGTGAGAGAAAATTTATTTTTATTAATTTAAAAAATTACTTTTTTCATGCTACCTATGTTATAAACTTTTAAAAACTTTTAAAAGAACTATAAAACTTTTTTTAAAAACTTTTAAAACACAAATCATTTCTAATGTATTTATACAAGTGACCTAGAAATTCAATTCAATTTAGTAAAAATCAGGTCATAAGAAAAATCAAATCCTTTATTAAAATAAACATATTTTGTGGGTTGCTATGGCCCAAGCAGGCTGCAGCATAACCAACAAAGAACTCTGAAGAACAGAGGGAAAGAATGTCATCAAGAAACTATATGACAAGAAGAAAAGATGGTCTTGAACACATAGCAAGACAAATGGATGACAAGCAGACAGCCAAAGGGTTACGATGGTACCCTCATGATGTCGGGAGAAAATGAAGAAGGCCTCCCACATGTTTGGTGGATTCCTTGTAGCAAATTTTTAGGGGAACATAGACAAGAGTCATACAACTTGGGCAGGAATGATTGGGTTGGGACCCACATTCCTGAATTACAGAACTAATGAGATGGCAAATTCATCTGAGTAAACTGAGTACATACATCCTAAAAATTATGTTAATCATCTTAATAGGGTAGTTTAAATGCTTAGCAATGATTCAAAATACCTTTCTGTGCTTTAATTAGCTCCTTTCCAATTTCCAGGGTGACAAAGGCAGTGCCATTCAGAACTATATCAGTTATGGTTTTCCAGGCATTAGGAGAGAGACGTTCAGAAGGAGAGATAAAATTCCCAGCTGCGTTGTTTATTATAACCTAGCAAATCAAAAATAAAAAAAAAAGTTATAGACATTGGGGGGTAGGTAAAATATTTTCTTTCAAGTGCTTTAATTTTTCATATAATTTTTCTAGATGATTCCATCAACTTGAAGATGAGAAACAATATAGCTATGTTCTTTACTGTAGATTTTTTTAAGTTTCTGAAATTGTGAAAACCTTTTTGTATCCCCCAAGACTCTGAATCATAACCCCCGACTGAGTATTGGAATGGAACTTGGAAGTAAAGGAAAAAACGTGGATTGAGCATGTTTAAAATTTACTTCTAGAACCCTCAAGAGATGCCCCATGAATCTCTGGGTTTCCATGAAAGGGCACTGGAAAACTATTGCCGGAGACTACATTTTATATACTATTTTGTTTTATTTGTCTTGATGAAAATCTCAGCTGGTAAAGTGCTTTTTTCCTAACCTAGTGAAACATTCTGCCCAGTTATCCATAGGGTCTATGGGTTTCAGTTTATATCACTTTATCTCTGCTATACCAAAGTGTGTTTATGAGAAAGATGGGGTGGGGTGGGAGAAGGCAGAAGCTCCCCTTCTTTTCATGAGCCGAGCAAAGGGCTTCTCTCGGCCTCACAAAAGATCATGAATCATCTAAGCTGGATAATATGCCCTTGGGTAACTAATAACTGTTATTCTTGTTTCATAATCCTATTAAATAAAAGGCAATCAAGTTGTCCGGTTTTCATATGAAATTGTTGTTAAAAATACACATAGCATTCATTACTCCTCATTTCAGTCTCCTCTAGATATTTTATTTAATATTATTCATACTATATATTATTATGGGTCTAATAATTATTAATAATAACAGTAGTAATAATACATTTACTTATCTTGTCCATTCATCAAACCAGTTTAATCATTTTGACTATACTACTCAATTACTAACCTAGTACCCAGCTAGATGTTAAATTTTAACTAAACTGATTAAATTAAACTGGGCTAGGAATGATACTTATCATTCCTAGTACAGGGAATGAATGCTAAAGCTAGTGGATCACTTGCGCTCAGGAGTCCTGAGCTTCAGTAGGCTAAGTCAATTGAGTTTCCACATAAATCTGACACCATTAAGGTGAGCCCCTGACAAACAAGTGTCTTAAACCCATGACCACCTGGCATTGTCTGACTAATGCAGCTGACTGAGTGTTGCCTACAAAAAATACAAAAAGCACTAGTTAGCTTCCTGAGGAAAATAAATAACTACTTTGAAAGAAGGCCCAGGAAGTATTCCTTAGTTCACTATTACATGAAGAATGTGTCTTTCCCCTGGACCACTATGGCCTCCAAGCAGTTCACCCCAGTTCAAAAAGTGAGTAGGTCAAAGCTCCCATGCTAATCAGGAGCATGCCACTGCATTTCCAGCTTGAGCGAGATAGGGAGATCTAGTCTCAAAAACAAATAAGTGTAATTAAACTGGTCGGCCAATTCAAATGAAAAAGATTAAACTTAGGTGTGCACAAAAAATCTCAAGGTATGAGAATACTATAGAGCATGGAATCAGATACAGTTGCTTTTCAGGGGGCTCACAATTCAATAAACATTTATAAAACATTAATTAAACAATTCTAAGTGCCAGAGATACAAAGGCAAAATGAAATCTTGACCTCAAGAAGCTTATGCCCTATCAAGATGCCCACAATATACACATAAATAAGTAAATAAAAAGGTATTTGAAGAAGAATAGATCATTAACAACTAGGCGAATCAAGGAAAGCTTCACAGAGCAAGTGTCACCTGAACTGAGTGTTGAAGGAAGATAAAGACTCAGAGAAGAAAGTTAATTGTAGACATTTGCTTGAGGGAGAGGAAGTATCTGGTATGGGTAACACTAGTGCAGCTTGACTAGACTTTCAAGTAGATTATAAGATGAGGAATAATATGAAATAAGGATAGAAAGGTAGGTTGGAGCTAGATTTTACGATGGGCCTTCAGGCTGAAGAGTTTATATTGAGAAAATTAAACTGATTTTATATCATTTTTTATTGATCCTATTTACAATTCATTGATCTTGTCCTGTAACTGCCCAAGTTATGGTTCTTTTTTCTTTGAATTTAGTTCAGAAATTTAGCTAGCCTGTAATGAGTTAAGTTTAGAAGTCCAGTTTCTTGCTAATCACTGTTCTATTCCTGCTTCACAGAAATCCATCATCCTTGGGGGATTCAAGCGGACACTAGGGAGTCTGATGAAGTATCAAAGTCTGGCCCACTATCTCTAACCTTGCAGGTAAACTCAAACAATGACTATTTCTTAGTTACAGGATGGAAGGAGTCATTGCTAACCCCTTATTCCCAACTTCCAACCAATCATATTTTCCCCCACTCAGCTACGTAACCAATCATGTCCTCACTCCCATGATAATGCCAACCCTATAACCAATTGTATTATTTCCTTACCTACCCTGTTCTGTTCTTTGTTGTATGCTTATAAAAGGGATCTGTGCCTCCAATTTGAAGTCTTTAGCTTAACTAAGGCATCCATTGACCTACTTTATTATCAGGTTCACATCTTGTCAACAAAATGTCATATTGCTTAAAGAAAACTTGCTTCAGTCTACTTTTGTTTAATTTCACTCATGACAGTGTTTTACCTTAAAGGCAACAGGGAGCCATTAAAGTTTTTTGAGCAGTAGAGTGATATGATAAAATTTCTAACTTGGGAAGATTATTTAGGCAGACATGTAGAGAAGAAATTAGAAAAGGGATACTCTAAGCAAGGAGACAAAAAGGAGATCACCAAGATAACTCAGGGAAAACATGGTGAAGACCTGAACTTGAACGGTGGCTAGATGAGTAAAGAAGAGAAGACAGATGTAAGAGATGCTGTAAGGGTAAACTTGGTAAGATATAGCAAATGATTAGATATGAGGAATGATGGAAAGTGAAGAGTTAAGAATGAGTCCAGACTATGAATATGGATGACTGAGATGACTGCAGTACGCTCAACAGAAACATCTGAAGGACAATCAAGTTTAGGGGAAAGGACTGGCTTGTTTGGGGCATATTGAATTCAGTAAGATGTTGATGAAGCACATAAAGATGCTTGATGAAGAAATGGAGCTCAAGGGACAGATTAGGAATGCATATGTAGATTAAGGAGCTAACAAGTCCACAACAGAAAAAACATAGAGAGAGAAAAGGGATTGAACAGAGTCTGGGTACGTGTAGGTGGCAAGAACTGAATGAGAAGACTCAAAGGGGACATGATAGATGTCTTCATTATTTGAAAGGCTATCATGTGAAGGAGAAATTAGATCTGGGGTTTTCTGGCTCCAGAGAGCAGAATCAGGAACAATGGGTGAAACTTACAAAAGGTCAAGCTTGATGTCAATAAAACCTTCCTAACAATTGGTACAATGCAGAAGTGAAATGGGCTTCCTTGAGAGGCATTTGGTTCCCCCTCCTTGGAAGCCTTGAAATAGAGGCTGAAGTCTGTCTGATCATTTATTTGCTTTCTTCCAAAACAGAATGTTACATTTCCTTTCCATTCTGTTTTCTATGACATAAGGTTTTGTTTTCATGCTTTTCCAGCTGCTCAGCGACTACTCCCCACCTTCAAATAATTAATTCTCTGATTGCTGCATTTTGACTTGTTTTATTATTTATTATTTATGAGGAATGGTGATTCTCTAGATCTCCTATTTTTCCTAGTAAATTTTTTAAAACCATATACAAAAAGGTTTTATTAGTTTTCGAGTCATCAAAAATGTCATGCTTGGTTTGCACTAGTATTGTAGGATGCTTCTATCAAATGTAATGACTAGTAGAATGATACTGAAACTCAGCAACTTATCTGAATAAATAAAATATAATCATAATGTTATAATGTATGCATAATTTTTTAAATTTTACAAAACTTAGTTCATTAGGCATTTTTGTTAGATTTCCAAATTCCAAATCAAGGCCTCCATCAGAAAAATCTGACAAACTGTACCTTGGTTGCTATTTAACAGTGACTAGATGTTTGAAATTAGACAAAAAAGGGTGTTTTTGTTTCCAACTGGAAAACTGAAGAAGTAGATTGTCACAACTAGGGCCCGGATAGGCCAGACCAAGAACAGCCAGGACCTGAAGGCCAGGCTGTCTTCATTAGAATGGCATCAGCAATGAGAATTCAGGGCAAAAAGAAGGTAGGAGGAGACAATAATAAGCACAAAGGAGGTCCAATAACAAGTGGTGGAGCCTCAGACATGGGTTCTGTCATTCAGGGGCAAGACTTAAAAGGACTGGAGGTAAGAAGAGAAATAAGAAACCTCGTCTTAAGAGAAACTGGATTACCCTGCTGAGAACTAAAGAGGAATTCAGGCATGAGGGGATCAGATGGTGACCCAGTTATTGTACTGAATATAAGGCTTGACTGAAAGGATGACAACGTTGAATTAGTAAGCTTCTGGCCGACGACTAATTATATTCCCCTTACCTTGGAACACAGCTGGTCTCAGGGTCTGGCTGATGGATATGCCTATCAGGGATGTTGTCCAGGAAATTATTTTGGCAGATTATGTAGAGAACGGATTGGAGAGGGGATAGATAGACTAGAAGCAAAGAGAATAAGTATCAAGGATGACATCACTAAGACAGTCCAGGAAAAACCTGATGAAGATCTGAACTTGAATGATGGCTATATGAGTGGAGAAGAGAAGATGGATGAGGAGATACTATAAGGGTAGACTTGATAAAACACAGCAAATGATCAGATATAATGGATGACAGAAAGTGAGGAGTTAAGAATGAAAACAAAAAAGGTTGAGTATAAACATGGATGACTGAGATAATTTAGTATGCTTAACTGAAACAGAGAAGCCTCAAGGATAGGTAAGTTTAGGTGAAAGAATTGTTTTTATTTTGGGCATATTGAATTTGAGGTGTTTATAGGACACCAACATTTGGGTTGAACTGGATGGCTTCTGAAGTAATAATAATATTAATAACATATAGAATTTACATAGTACTTTAAGGTTCACGAAGCACTTTACAAATATCTCATTTTATCCTTATGAGTAATAGGCACTATTGTTATTCCCATTTCACAGAAAAGGAAACTGAGGCACATAAAGTTTAAATGACTTGACCAAGGTCACATAGCTAGTAAGTATCTGAGGCTAGATTTGAACTCTGGTCTTCCTGAATCGAAGTCCAGCACTCTATCCAGTGAGCTATCTAGCTGCCAGTCCCATATACCCATGAAATTATGTGATATCTGTGGGATTTAAGTGATCACAGCTTTGAAGGTTTAGTGCCCAGGCATCTACCACATGGAGTAAAATTTGGCCCCCTTTTCAGGATATGGCCCACTAGAGATTTTTAGCAAAAACTTTTTTAAAATCAAATTAATGAATACATTAGGTAGGGGCCTAGCCTTCTACCTGCCTGTATTGTTGTACAACCCACTGTCTCCAAGTGATGTATTAGCAGGCATTTCTCAATTAGTAATTGTCATTAAAAATGCTCCAGGGGCTCCAACCAATCTGGGAAGGCTTTGAGTAAGGACACTGGGTCATCCCATGATCACTTGTAATGACCACATTAAGGCTTTCCCACATTCCCAACATCTTGAGTTTATGAACAACACTGCCAATGTGATTATCTACTTCTTTCAATACAGCACTCATTTGCTCTTTTATCTTCAGGTCCATACTTGTGTCCACTTGTATCCTGTTCTTCCCAATACAGTGTTGCGAAAATAACCAAAGGATCTGAGCTGTTCAGTCGTTTAGTAACATTGCCTAATCTCTCATCAAATGTTACTGAAGGATTATAATTCATAAAATAGGAAGGAGTTGTACTGTGGGCAGCCACATCAGTACCAGGACACGTAGCAGCAGCACTCGTTCTGCTTTTCTCAAGCTCACTGATTACCCAAATGGGGGTTGTTTCATTCTACCAAAAAGGATCTTTGTCTTTAAACGCTGAAAAAACTTTTCTTGTGTCTCCACCATACAATGAGTCAGCCATGATGTTATGGTTTTCTAAATACAGGCCTGTCACTATGCTGTGGTGATTTGGAAAAGGTTTCATGATAAAAACGTTCTTAACATGCTCCACCAAGACACCTTCTTCAATAAAATTACAAAGATAAGGAAATTCATATTTCCTTAGACAGTCAGCCACGAAGCCATCAAAGGATACCAAGAGTAGCCTGGGCATCAGATTATATGTAGAATTGCCTCTGCAACTAGTTATGATTCCAGAAAATAGAAGTGTTAATACTAACTTCATTGTGGACATCACTCTAAAACTTAACAGCCAATCTTCCCACCGCCGTCGCCTGCATGTAGTTTGCACGTAGTTTTATGAGAGCGTGGCAGAATGAATAGAGCACTCTACATACAGTTAAGAACCGCAGCTATGTGGCACAAGTAGATGAAGCAACAGGCCTGAAGTCAGAAAGACTGGGGTTCAAAATCTACTTCTGTGACTCTGGGCAAGTAACTTAACCTCTGTTTGCCTCAGTTTCCTCATCTGTAAAAATGGGGATAATAATAGCACCTATTTCCCAAGGTTGTTGTAAGGATCAAATGAGATAATAATTGCAAAATATTTAGCACAATGCCTGGCACATAATAAGCACTATATAAATGTTAGTTATTATTATTATTGTTGGAATCCTGCTTTAGATGCTTATTAAGTATATGACTACAGACAGTTCACTAAACTTTTCTAAGCCTCACTTTCCTCATTTGTAAAATGGGGAAAATAACAGCATCTACCTTCAGGGCCACTGTAAGGATGAAATGTGATAATTTATGGAAAGAGCTTTGCAAATATTAAAGTGCTATATAAATGTCAACTATGATTATAAACAGACAGAGTACCCCAGCCTCAGGATCAGGAAGACCTAGGTTCAAAATCTATCTTTGGCACAGACTGGCTGTGCTAGACAATTTTTTTTAACTTCTCATTGTCACAGTCAAACTTCTAAAATTCTAAATTGCAAAGCAGGCACCAATCTTCCTTAGAAAAGGGATTTGCCTATTTTTGGAGCACCCTATGCCAGTGAAATCATGGTTAGGTCCAAAAAAGAAATAATTATAACAAACAATCAGAAAATGTTGAATTCTAACAGATGATTAAATACAGGGAGGGTTTCAGCCTTCATAACAGCCTCACACTTTATCATTCTTCATTTCATAGCTAGCCCCTGGAAACAAAGTTTTTCAGAGCGTCAGAGAAAAGGTTTTACATTACAATGTCACTTTGTGAAGCATACTCACCACCTAATGCACTAAAAGTCTTGTGGCATTCCTACTTTTATACTCACGTCAGGATGTCCTGCTACTTTGATTAATTCAGAGACAGTATTTTTAACCATCTCAGGATCCCTCACATCACACTGGATTGCATGCACCTGAAAAAAATCACAAAAGGAAAGAAAAAAACTGAAAGCTTCTCAGTTTTAGATAACAAGACACTATCCTAAACTAGTAAAGGAAAAGGAGAGTGGTATAGTAAACAGAAGGCCAATCTCACTGGAAAGGGCTGTATTCAAGCCATTTAACTTCCTGGTTACCTTGTAAGGTTGCCCCAAGCAATCTTCTAAGTCTATAACTTCAAGAATTGTTGCAGTGGAGGGTGTTACCTACACTGAATAAATCATAGAACTGGACAAAAAACCAAACAATAAGGCTTAAAATATTAGTTAAAATAAACAAGATTTCTATTATCTGATTTTATACAAAAATAAAATGTGAGTATACTTTTCTGAAAATACCTTATTTCCTGTTTGAGAAGAAATTTCTTCTGCAGTAGTTTTCAAAACATCAATCTTCCTAGAAACAAATGAGTAATATTCTGCATGAGTCCTAAAAAATTTTGTATATTACAAAGCTTTGTTTTCTTTTGGATAACATTCTTCACAATTTTTTTTCTAAAAATGTAGATTATTAGAATGGGGGAAGAGAATAAAGAAAACACTATGACTGTATTGAAACAGCTTAATTTGACTGAATTCACTAAAAATGTCAAATTTAAAGTTTAAAGACCTTTTGTGCTTTTTTTGCTCTGTATGTGTTAATGTGTTGAATATTTCCATTTTTAACCAATTGTTAAGGCATCTTATAGCTAAATACATAATAAGTTACTTAAGATCATTTGTTTGTACCTTTCTCATTCTCAAAATGAACTTCAATGGAAAACAAAAATAAGCCAAGGCAGCCGGCTTTGGACCAAAATTTATAGGCCCATGCAGAGGAAACTAAACAATTCACAGCCTTAGGGCTGTAAGTAGAGCTACTGAATCTTAATGTCCCTCAAGGGTGACATAAGATTTTATATATGTATTTTTCAGACTCAAAGATGATTTAACCCATCTGAAAGGCTGAAGCTCCAACATCTTTCTGTGGGCTGAAACCTTCTCAAATCTTAAAACACCAAATAACTGCATAACTGTTATTTTATTCACGAGATGTCAGTAGTAAATAAATACACATGTTCTTGTATACATTTGCCCTTCATTATTATTACTGCCACCCCAAAATCTATCAAGACAAATGTTACTACAGTAGCTGTCAATCTCGCTGAAAATGGTATTCTAATCTACATTACCCTAGGTAGAAGATTAATTATCTCCTTGAGGAAAATTAATTACTGCCACTGAAAATAGGACAGTCAATTAAAGCAACTTTGTTACTTCATTTGAACTATTTTTTTAACCTTGCTGTTAAATAGGATGCGTGCTGGATTGCTGTTGAGGAAAGCTCTTTACCAACCCTAAAATACTCTATACAAATGTGAGTTATTACATATTCCAAATTCCATGCACATCATCCCCTCCTTCATGTCAAATAACCCACAATTTTCCTTTAAAGTGATTTTATACAAATAATCTAACTACATCCCAAATTTTAAGGGAATCAGGCAAGATTTAAAACATTATTTAACCTCTCATCCATTAACAATGTGTTGATATTACAATACCCAGAGAAAGCAAATTTTCATTACTAAACTAAAGAAAGTTTTTACATAAGTCATTTACCGACTTGCTATCACACAGGTTGCACCCAGACTGGAGAGAACAGTGGTCATTCCTTTCCCAAGACCAGTACCTCCACCTGTGATGAAAGCTACTTTCCCTTGAAAACTATTAGGTGGTAACATCACTTTTTTAAGAGGTTGAAAGAATTTAGCTCGTTCCGCCTCAATGCTTTTGTATAATCCTTTTGTTCCACAACTGAAAAACTTAAAAAGAAAAAACAACAAAAGATAAATGAATGATTGAATGACAAATCATGTCTACATACACAGAAATGCACAAAATTATAAATTACTTACCTTTATAATTAAAGGTAACTCTTCTAGCAAAGTTTTATGATGAACATAAATCTCATCCTAAATATCTTTTGTATTTGTAGTGACTTGGTAAAATGTTACTTATTCCTAACGTCGCATGATGCAATAAAATTGTAGAAAAGAAATATTAGTTTTCCTTGTAACAATTTGGCACTAAAACTGATCTGAATAACTTGGGAGTCAGACAATCGGATGATAATAATAATAATAGCTAGCATTTAAATAGCACTTTAAAATCTGTAAAATGCTTTACATGGATTATCTCATTCACTCCACACAGCTACCCTTATTATTCCCACTTTGCAGATGAGGAAACTGACTCAGAGAGCATTAAGTGACCTGCCTAGAATCATACACCTAGTAACTATCCGGGGCAGGACAGGACTTGGACTCATCTTTGTTACTCTAAGTCTAGCAATTCTGTTCATTATACCTCTCTGGGTCACAGTTTGTTCCCCTAGGTAAAATATCCAGAGTAGACTAGACTAAATCATCTCTAAATTACTTTCCAGCTCTAAATTCTATGATTCTATAACAATCTTATGATTCTACAACCCTATAATCTTTAAAATTATATGATTTAACAACTCAATCTTTTCTTCATTTGTTGTTCAGTCATTTCAATCATGTGTGACTCTTTGTGACCCCATTTGGGTTTTCTTGACAAAGATACTGAAGTGGCTTGGCATTTCCTTCTTCCATTTTACAAATGAGGAAACTGAGGCAAACCGGGCTAAGTGACTTGCCCAGGATAATACATGTAGTAGGTGTCTGAGGCCAAATCTGAACTCAGGAAGGTAAGTCTGCCTGACTCCAGGCTCAGCACTGCATGCACTGTGCCATCTAGCTGCCAATTTTCTTCATTACAGTAAAATAATCAAAAGTAAGCAATTAGTAAAATCAATATAGATTATAAATGTTCAAACTGATATATGATATAAATAAATTTGTATATCCCTATTTGATCCTCTGGCTAATAAATTCATAATATATAACACTGTTCTACTATATTCAAAAATAAGAAAAGTCCAGAAAGCTTTAATTAGAAAAAAGAAGTGTGTTATCAAATCTTGTGGGGTGTGTGGTTAACACAAGATCCTTATAATTTCCATCAGGCTGTAATTAGCTAAAGTTGTATTTCAGAGCACACCAGAGTTCTTTTAATCATTAAATCATGATTTAATAATGATTTAATAAATTTGCATGTCTCTCAAATCTCATGACACATCCAGTAGAGTAGTCCTCTAGCTTCTCTTCTGCATAGGCTGTGAATAGCCCATCCACCAGATTTTGTGGATTCCCTGCACCAGTTCTGTGAAAGAGCCCAGATCATTGAGGATACTGGTAGTATCCTCAACAGGAACAGGGATAGGGAGGAAAACCTGAAGAATGAAAACCTAAAGAGAAGAGAGTATCAAGGAAAAGAAAGTGATAGGCAGCGTCAAAGGCTGCAGAGAGGTACCAAAGAATGAGGACTAATAAAAAAAAATGGGCCATTAGATTTGATAATTAACAAATAATTAGTATTATAAGGACTGGTGGTCTTGAGACCACAATGACAGTCCCCCTTAAGGAAAGCTGTAGTTTATAGAATCTAGGCATGGAAAAAATGATATTTTTAAGGTTAATAGCACTGGGTGTTCAAAAATAATAATCTTGCCAACCACCAGTTTGCCTTTCCTCTCTGTACCTGTGTACTTCAACCCCGACCCTCCCCACACACCCTCCCATGTGCCCTAAACTTTGAAATGCAAACCGGCCAGCTCCAGACCAACACCAAAATCAGGGCTTAAGTATCCCACTCTAAGAAAGGATACTTTTCAGCATACTTCCCTTCCCAGGAGGCTTGACATTGCCATGGGAACAAAGCCTTCTCAGCTAAATGGCTCCACTGTCTCTGTGCCCCTCAATGCAGTGCTGCCTTTAGATGAGTTTTATTCTATTAGTTTGTATGTCTGAGTTGTGTTTTAGATCTCTTCTTCCTCTCCCTCCCCTTCTTCTCTACCACTTGCCAATAAAACTTTCCATTGAAGGGCTCTCCACTGCTATTACATATTACTTGTAGCATCTGAACTCATTAAGAGGTTTGTTTTTCCCAGTGCCTCTGGTTTGCCCCCACCTTTCCTTGGATATAAACTGGGTCCTTGAACAAGAATTTTAGCTGCTCTCAGGCTCCAATGCTAGAACTTGAGTTAATTAGGGGAACTCAACGTCCTCCCAGCAGGGACTCACTTTAAACAAAGCAACTCCAGGAGCTAACGATTTTGATTGAATGATAAAGTCAGAAGCCAAACTGTAGAGAATTAAGAGAGTGAGAGGAAAGGAAGTGGAGGCACCCAATGTAGACAGCCTTCATAATGAGTCTAGCCATGAAAACAGAGAAATATAGTTATCAGGGATCAGGTGTGGGATTTTTGAGGATGGGGGAGACATGAGCATGTTTGTAGGCAGTGAGGAAGCATCCAGTAAACAAAGAGAGATTCAAGGTAAGTGAGAGAGTAGGGGTGATAGAGGGATCAATCTGATTGGCCAACTGTTGTCCTTCGTTCTCAAAGAGGACCAAAATGACATAATTATGTTAGAGTCAAGTTTCAGTGTGTCTGACTATAGCTGATCAGACCAATGTTCTACCACAGATAAGGCACAAATAGTCCCTGTGAATATTTGGGGTGGATTCTCTAAATTTGTGTATCTTGCATTTCTTTTGAGCCACTTCAATTCTGCTCTGCTCACAGAGCACTGCACCTTCTCTGATAAGGCATGCCATGCTGGGCAGTCCTGTGCCACTGTCTCCCATGTCACACAGTCAATTCCAAAGTTCTCAAGAGAGACCTTGAGAGTATGCCAAAAGAAGACAAGCTTATCATTCTGGGTGACTTTAGTGCTAGACTAGGCTCAGACTACCAGACATGGCAGAGTCCTTGGGAGGAATGGAGTTGCAAACAGCAACAGCAATGGTCACTTACTACTGAAGACTTGTACATCTCATGACCTTCTCATCACAAACATTGTCTTCCACTTATCTAAATGCAATAAAACTTCATGGATGCACCCTCACAGCAAACACTGGCATTTAATAAACTATATGATTGTAAGTAGAAGAGACAGGATGTGAAAGTAAGGATAGCAATGTGTGGTGCAGAGTACTGGACTGATCATAGAATTATCCTCTCCAACATAAATATCTACATTCAACCAAAGCAGCAGCCCCAAAGCAAAATGATTATGAGAAGAATCCAAGTCAACAGATCAGAGCGCTTCTCTGAACAGGAACAGTTTGTTGCTAACTCGGAGGGAAAGTTGAGCCAACACATAGCTGGCAACAGTGGAGCAGAAAATAAGTAAGCAGCTTTCAGGGATTTGTTGTACTGTACTGCATTTGCTCATCTGGATCAGAACACTGGCAAATGTCAGACTGCTTTGACGAAAATGATGGGGAAATTCAGAAGCTGCTAAATGAAAATAATGGGAACTCCACAGGATCAATCTGGTAGAGAAAAAAAGGAGTGAATGGTATCACTAGTAGACGAAGAGTGGTTTTGCCTTGCACGGAGGGTGGAGAGTAGATGGAGGAGGGAGAATGTGAATGGTAGCTAGGGATGTAGTTCTCACCAAAAATGGTTTCCTGGGTAGATTCATCTGCATACTTAAAAAAAAAGGGGGGGTGCTAAAGTTAGAGACTGAGTACTTAAGAGTACTCAGTTTTCATCATCATCATCATCATCATTTAGAGTCATTTACATATTTAGTTCCTTTACAAAGAGTCACAATTTTCTATTAGTGCTATTCATTAACCATTTAAGACAGGAAGAAAAAGAGAAAAAGCAGGCTTTTTTTAAAAATTGATTCTATGGCAAGAGGATCAATATGATAAATTCTCAATAAACTTGATAAGATATGAATAAGCCTTTGTTTACAGGTCTTTCCAGTTCTTCCTCCCTACTCCAGTGCCTACTTTTCATCTACTCTGCATATACCTTGTTCAACTGAGTCCTGAATAGTGCAAATAATAAATCTAGTCAAGTGGAACTGCACTTAGAAGCTGTAATTATGTAAAGTATGGTAACTTTCAGACCAATGGAAATATGCAATAAGAAACTGAATAATACCACCACTTCATGGAATTCAATATTTGTACTAATAGGGACCTATCTGTACATACTTAGACATTTAATGGCGCTGATTCCATTAAAATGTGAACTCCTTGAGGGCAAGAGCTATGTTCTAGTCTTTCTTTGTCTCCCCAGTCCTCAACACAAGGCTTAGTATATAGCAAGTTCTTAATTTATGTTTGTAGACTGATTTTGGGCTTGTCAAAAGGTAGCTAGCTAAGAGGACATGAGGAGATCCTGAGATTCCCTCTATAGGTCCCTGTGCCAACTGAAATTGGTAGCAAAATCCATAGAGGAGTAGCAGCAGCCACAGGAGTTAGAATACAACCCAGAAGCAGTCTGGTGTGGGATGCCCATCGCATGCCCAAGCAATGATTTGGTGGGCAATGCAACATCTGGAAAGATAGGGCAGCAGATGATTGGTTGCAGCTGAGTTTGGCATGGAGCCAAAACAGCAACTAAGTACCTTCCCCAACTTGGGACCTGAGTAGAAGTGGGGAAGAGTAGCAGTAGCATGGTACAGTCCAGCAGCTGATGACTCAGCCAGCAGAATACTGTATCCTAAAAGGAACTTCAAGAGCACTAAGTAAAGGGAGAAAAGGTCTTCTTGGACCAGAATTGAGAGGTAGCCCAACACATATACTTCACTACTTTATTATACTTTTATTATTATATTTATCATACTTATTTAATTTACATATTTATATTGTATATATAATATAAATATATATTTGTTTATGTATATACTTATTATATTTATTGTACTTTAAATATGAG